TAGAAAATGCCAACGTGTTATCTACCCTGTGGCAAGCCGGCGCCAACTATATTCAGGGTCACTATCTGCAGGAACCCACCACGAATATGGACTACGACTTCAATACAGAAGAGTAGGCTGATGGCGCACGACTAATCGTGCGCGAGGGCCTGATCAATATCACGGTCGCTGAACCCAATCAGATAAAGCACCGCATCCAGACCGAAGTTCGAGATGGCGTGTTCAGCATTTTCCCGCACCACCGTCTTGGCATGAAACGCAACACCCAGCCCTGCGGTCGATAACATCGGTAAATCGTTGGCACCATCGCCAATAGCAATAGTCTGTTGCAGAGATATCCCTTCCGCCTGGGCGGTCTGACGCAGCAGATCCGCCTTGCGCTGGGCATCAATGATCTCTCCAGCCACCGCCCCGGTCATCACGCCATTTTCTATTTCCAACGCATTGGCATAGACATAATCAATTCCCAGGCGCTGCTTCAGGTGGTCACCGACATACTGAAAGCCGCCTGAAATCACCGCAGTTTTGTACCCAAAATAGCGCAGCGCCCGCAGTAACCGCTCGGCTCCGGTATTGAGTTGCACAGCATTAGCGATCTGCTCCAGAGTGCCAACCGGCATACCTTTCAGTAAACCGGCGCGGCGCCTGAAACTTTCCTTAAAATCTATTTCGCCCGCCATCGCTTGCGCGGTAATCGCTGCAACCTGTTCACCCACACCATGCTGGCGGGCTAATTCGTCAATCACCTCTTCTGTGATGAGGGTGGAATCCATATCGAAGGCCACCAGCCGCCGATTCCGCCGGAACACGGTGTCGTGCTGCAGACTGAAATCAAAATTAAGACCATCCGCGGACGCCATCAGCTCTGAACGCAGCCGATTGATGTCAGCTGCATCTCCACGTAACCGCATTTCTACACACAGGTGTGTAGGCTGATCTTCACCACGCGCATCCCCGCGGTCAGTCAGACGGCGGACGGTATCGATGTTCAGGCCAAATTTATGGGTCAGGGAGCTGGCAGCGTACAACGTATGGCTGCCATCACCGGTGGCAAGCAACGTCAGGATATATCGGGTTTGCCCGGATGCTTCCACCCAGAGCTGGTAATTTGATTCGGTAACATTGGAAATACGGACCGTAGCATCGGCTGCATTTGCGTTGAACATGATGTCTTTGATCAACGCGCCGGAATGATCAACGTCCACGCTCACCAATATCCCCAGGGCCAGATCCTCATGAATCACTGCCTGGCCGATATCCAGAATATGCGCATTGAACTGCGCAAGGGTTTCCATCAGCAGCGACATCAGGCCAGGTTTGTCCTGGCCGGAGACATTGATCAGAATAATTTCTTCCGCTTGTGCCGAGGACGTCGTGTGAGACCTCTTTTTGGGCAAACTTTTTGGCAAACCGATTTTCGCAATGTATTCAGGAAAGCCAATTGTAATGGGTAAAGGACGCCCTGGGCGTCTTTTGTGTGCTAGATTTGTCGGCCATATTTAAAGCCACGCAGGTAGCCCGCCGTTGTCGCTGTTGCGAAATCCTTCTTTTCTGCAGAAACCGTTGCGGAGCTTACGCAAGTTTCGTCCCAACCAGTCAACGTTACCTGCTGCAATTCTCGCCACCGCTTTCTGTGGCATCAGCCTGCTGTTGATCTGGACCGCGCCCCTCAGCGCCGATCGCGAAATTACCCGTTACGGCGAAGCGCTGTCTGAAACCCTGGCCCATTCAAGCGCGGGCCTGCTGTTGCATCAGGAGCGCATTGAACTGGCGGTTGTCGCCAACCAGATCAGCCAGTATCCAGAGGTGGCAGGGGTCATTTTCTACAGTGCCAGCAATGAGATTATTGTTCTGAGCGGCAACACCGACACCGGGCTGCATTTTATCGCGCCAGCCACACTCGATGACACCATCACCGGCTATGTCAGCGTTGTGCTGAATAAAACCGCCTTTGACATGCCCACCCGCTTTGGTGCCTGGCTGCTGAGTCTTCTGGTACTTGGTTTGAGTCCATTCCTGAGTCTCGGGATTCTGCAGTTATCGGCAACAGGTAATCGATCTTTGCCGATTGTCTCGGTGCCGGAAGCGGTCCCGCCTGAAGAGCAATCGAGTTTTGCGTTGACCCTGAATCTTTATAACCAACTGGCCCTGGACAAAGACAGTCGCCAGACGGCCATCACCGACGCGTTGAACATGGCTCATGAAGCGTGCGCGATTCACCCGGGCATTGCAGTGGAAATCCCCGAACGAGGGGCACTCATTCTGTTTGATCAGAAAACCGTCACCGGTGGTCAGGCCATATGTGCATCGTTTCTGCTACAGCGGTTACTGGCTGAATTTGAAACCCCGGGGAAATTTCGCTGCTATCTCACGGAAGTCACCTGCCAGGGTTCACCTGGAGAACTGGTACAACTTGAGCTGAGCGATATAGAAGCAGATACGGATATCGATATGCTGATCACCCTGGCGGCACTGGCACGACCAGATACTGTGCTACTCAGCGAATCGGTTTACAGCAAGCTGAACAATGAAGAGAAGGTCTGGTCACGTTTATACAGCCACCCGCTGATCGACGACGTATCAGCCTCTGACCACACCTATCTTGTCAGTTCACTGCCTGAAGAGCAGGCCCGACTGGTAGACAGCCAGGCCAATCTGATTCTTGGTTTTAACCAGGCTTCAGCGTAACCCTGGACACCTATTCAACGCTGAGGCGATCTACTTTCTGAAAACCTCTGGGCAGCTTGCGACCACGACGCGCGCGCTCGCCAACATAGTTTTCAAGGTCTTTGGCTTTCATGCGCAGATGTCTGGCCCCTGCATGGACCAGTAACTCCTGGCCTGACCTCAACACCACAGCCGCGACCATGGTTTCCTCACCGGCTTTAAATGCCGCTGTGGGTACATTGATGAGCTTGTTACCTTTACCTCGCGCCAGCTCAGGCAGTTCCGCGAGCGGGAAAATGAGCAATCTTCCCTGATCGGTGACCGCCGCCACATTGGTTTGCGCCACATCATCCAGATCTTCCAGAGCAAATACGCTGGGCGTTAAAGCAACACCACCTGCAGGTACCGTGAGTACCGCTTTACCTGCTTTGTTTTTGGTCACCATGTCAGACAGTCGACCGACAAAACCAAAACCTGCATTGGACGCCATCAACACGCGCAACTCGCCTTTGCCTAACGCAACACCGAGAAAGCGTGCACCCGGCGGCGGTTTGAAGCGACCCGTAAGCGGCTCTCCCTGACCACGCGCAGACGGCAGTGTGTGTGGGGCCATGTTGTATGCACGACCGTTGGAGTCGAAAAACACCAGCGTTTCATTGGTACGTCCGCGGGCGGCCTGAGCAAACGCATCGTCACCTCGATAATTCAGCTCCTGGGGGTCCGTCTCATGACCTTTTGCCGCACGGGCCCAACCTTTTTCAGACAGAACAACAGTGATGGGTTCATTGATCAGTAAATCTTCTTCAGTAAACGCATTGGCCTCAGCCACACTGGTCAAGGGTGAGCGACGATCATCACCATACTCTTCGGCAATCGCCAGCAACTCCTTTTTCATCAGAGTTTTCATGCGCGCTTTGGAGCCCAGGGTTTTTTCCAGATCAGCCTTTTCGGCGTTCAGCTCATCCTGTTCGCTTTTCAGTTTGATCTCTTCAAGCTTGGCCAGCTGACGCAAACGCAGATCGAGAATGGCGTTAGCCTGAATTTCCGACAGCGAATAGCGCCGCATCAATTCATCTTTTGGACGATCTTCTTCCCGGATGATACGGATCACTTCATCAAGATTCAGGTAGGCGACCAGCAGACCTTCAAGAATATGCAGCCGCTCATTGATTTTATCGAGGCGGTAATTAAGTCGGCGGGTGACGACATCAAGCCGATAGACCAGCCACTCTTTGATAATTTCAGCGAGATTCTTAACTGCCGGTCGCTGATCGAGGCCAATCATATTCAGGTTGATACGATAGCTGCGTTCAAGGTCGGTGGTGGCAAACAGGTGACTCATCAGCCGCTCAAGATCAACCCGATTAGAACGAGGCACCAGTACCAGACGGGTTGGGTTTTCGTGATCAGACTCATCCCGCAGGTCGACCAGCATTGGTAATTTTTTTGCGTGCATCTGCGCAGCTATCTGCTCCAGCACTTTTGCCGGCGACGTCTGATGTGGCAACGCGGTGATCACCACTTCGCCATTCTCCTGGGTGTAGATCGCACGGGCCTTGATGCTGCCACGACCGGTTTCATAGATCTCACGGATGTCGTCAGGATCCGTAATAATGGATGCATCTGTCGGATAATCCGGCCCTTTGATATGGGTCATGACATCTGCCACGGTCGCCTTCGGCGCATCTAACACGTGCACACACGCACTGATGACTTCCCTGATATTGTGTGGCGGAATATCGGTGGCCATACCTACGGCGATACCCGTGCTGCCATTCAGCAATACAAACGGCAACTGCGCAGGCAGCAGCTTGGGTTCCAGGGTTGTACCGTCGAAATTCGAAACATAATCAACAGTGCCTTGACGCGCTTCTGCCAACAGCAACTCAGCATATCTGGACAAACGCGCTTCGGTGTAACGCATCGCAGCAAACGATTTTGCATCATCCGGCGCACCCCAGTTACCCTGACCATCCACCAATGGATAGCGAAAAGAAAAGGGTTGCGCCATATGCACCATAGCTTCGTAACAGGCGCTGTCACCATGCGGGTGGAATTTACCCAACACATCACCTACGGTGCGTGCCGATTTCATGAACTTGGCCTGGCTGTTCAGGCCCAGCTCACTCATGGCGAAAATAATACGGCGTTGTACCGGCTTCAGCCCATCAGCCAGATGAGGTAACGCGCGGTCGTTAATCACGTACATGGAATAATCGAGGTAAGCCCGCTCGGTATATACGGCTAGCGGCATTTTTTCGATATCGGGTTCTTGTAAATCTTGGCTCATGGTATTTCTTTAAGTTTTATGCCTACAAACAGGTTTTGAACGATTACGGAAGATCGGCCTGATCACCTTTACTTTCCAGCCAGACGCGACGATCTGACGCGCGCTTCTTAGCCAGCAACATGTCCATGGTTTCTTCTGTCTTGTTATCGCCTTCGATCGACAACCGCACCAGCCGGCGGGTATCCGGGTCCATGGTGGTTTCACGCAGTTGCAAAGGGTTCATTTCACCCAGGCCTTTGAAGCGTTGCACCATCGGCGTACCACGCTTTTTCTCTGCGGCGATGCGATCCATCACGCCATCTTTTTCCGACTCATCGAGGGCGTAAAACACTTCCTTGCCGATATCGATGCGGTAAAGGGGGGGCATCGCCACATAGATGTGTCCGGCTTCAACCAGGCTTCGAAAATGTTTCACAAACAAAGCGCACAACAGTGTTGCAATGTGCAGACCGTCAGAGTCCGCGTCTGCCAGAATACAGACCTTGTTGTAACGCAGCCCTTGTATATCGTTAGAGCCTGGATCTACGCCCAGGGCAATGGCGATATCATGCACTTCCGACGACGCCAGCACCTGGCTTGAATCAACCTCCCAGGTGTTCAGAATTTTGCCACGTAGCGGCAGCACAGCCTGAAACTCACGGTCTCGAGCCTGCTTGGCAGAGCCGCCTGCTGAGTCTCCTTCCACCAGAAACAGCTCAGCGCGATCTGCATCCTGGCCGGAACAGTCTGCCAGTTTGCCTGGCAGAGCAGGCCCCGCGGTGATCTTTTTGCGGGCAACCTTTTTTGAAGCCTGCACGCGTTTCTGCGCATTGTTGATGGCAATTTCAGCAATCTGCTCACCTGCCTCAGGGTGTTCATTCAGCCACAGACTGAAAGCATCTTTGGCCACACCGGAAATGAATGCAGCCGATTGACGTGATGACAGCTTTTCTTTGGTCTGGCCGGCAAACTGCGGGTCGCCCATTTTGGCAGACAGCACATAACTGCATTGTTCCCAGAGATCTTCACCGGTGAGTTTTACGCCACGGGGCAGAAGGTCGCGAAACTCACAAAACTCTTTCAGCGCATCGTTAAGACCTGAGCGCAAACCGTTGACATGAGTACCGCCTTGAGCTGTTGGGATCAGATTCACATAGGACTCTGTAATCAGCTCGCCACCATCCACTACCCACTTCACGGCAAATTCGACCGCTTCGGAATTCCCCTGGGCACTGTGCAGAATCGTCTCCGCGGGCACCGTATCTGCACCGGCCAGCGCGTTATCCAGGTATCCTTTTAAACCTTCTTCAAAGTACCAGGATTCATTTTCATCCGGTTTACCTTCCTGGGCCAGGCTGACGCGCAGACCAGGACAGAGCACCGCCTTGGCGCGCAACAGATGGCGCAACCGTGGCACAGAAATGTTCGGCGAATCAAAATAGCTTGCCTCCGGAATAAACAGAATCCGGGTGCCGGTATTACGTTTACCAACACTATCAACCACTTTGAGTTTGCTGGTCGGCGCGCCTTTGGCATAAGTCTGCCGATACAGATTGCCGTCGCGCTTTATTTCGACTTCCAGATGTTCAGACAATGCATTGACTACAGATACGCCAACCCCGTGCAGACCGCCGGAGAAGCTGTAATTTTCGTTATCAAATTTGCCACCGGCATGCAGACGGGTGAGGATCAGCTCAACACCGGACACTTTATGCTCGGGGTGAATGTCGACCGGCATGCCGCGACCATCGTCGATCACTTCTATGCCACCGTTCTTGTAAAGCGTGACTTCTATCTCGCGAGCATGACCCGCAATGGCTTCGTCGACGCTGTTATCAACCACTTCCTGTATCAGGTGGTTGGGCCGAGTCGTATCGGTATACATGCCTGGTCGGCGCCGAACCGGCTCCAAACCAGACAGAACCTGCAGCGATGCTGCAGAATATGCTTTTTCTGCCATGAATCTCTTAGCTATCTAACTGAATGTGTATGGGGAAAGAATCCACTGTAAAAACCTGCGTTTCGATTCGGCCATCGTTCGATAAAGACAACCAACGATAACCCGGAGATGATGTATCCACGGTAAAGGTCGTGCTGCCGGGTGCAAACTGAAAACACGTTGATGGTGTACCAAACACCGGGACCGCGGCGACAGAGTCCGCAACACATTGATGGGCATGCCCAAAAACAACGGCGCGCAGTCTGGACTCTCCCGCTCGGGTACTTTGCTCGGCGAGCGATGATACCAGTTCGACAGCGTTTTTAATCCTATCCTTATCCAGCCAGGGCGAATTAATCGCAACCACTGGGTGGTGTGTGGCGAGCAGGACATGGTCACCGCGCGCATCGCGAATCTGCGCACCGGTCTGCAATCGGTCAGCTTCGCGCACCAGCGCCTGCGGTGCATCGTCTTCATGAGAATCCAGCGAGACAATATCCCAATCTGCCAGCGCCAGAGGTGCCATAGGCAGATCCGCCGCCTGCATCTCACTCAGCACATCATGATTTCCCGGCAAACATAAGAGCGGCGCGGCGGTGAAACGGCGCAGGGTATGCACAAAGCGCTGATAAACGTCACGCCTGGCGTCGTGGGCAAGATCGCCACTGGCAATTACCGCGGCAGGTGTCTGCTGCGCACAGGCCTGAGCCAACACCGCCTCCAACGAAGCCTGGGTATCAACACCCAGCAGGGTTGTGTCAGGCGCCACGAGGTGACAGTCGGTGATGTGTAGAACGTTCAGGCCCATGCCCCCAGAGACCGGTTCAGCAACCGCCTAAAAAGTGATGGGTTGAGTACTGGCACCGTGAGCAAGGCATAAGGTCAGAAATTCGCCAAGAAAGCGGTTCAGCTGAACTTTTTCATCCCGCTGACGCATACGCTGATTGGGGTATTCGTATTTGCCGTGGAACCGGTTCTGGGCCTGATAGGACACCACTTCTGCACTACGAGCATCATGATAAACCCGCACCGTCATCGCAGGTGCGGCGGCCATTTTTGTCCATTTCTCATCAGAATCCACCTGCATGGACAGCAATGTGGTGTAAGGCCCCTTTTCGAGCACCTGAAATACCACCTGGGCATCCAGCGCCGTCAACGGCAGACCGATGCGCTGCTCCGGCTGCTCACGCAGATTCGGGAACAACTGCATCAGACGATGATAATTGGCGTCACATTCAGCCATATGCGCAGGCAGATCGACGCTATAGTTGCGTTTTTTGCCCCGTTGCGCGGCACGGTCAAGCTGCGCACCGGTCAGCAGCTTGGAGCGGGATAGGATATCCGCTTGGGTTTCCGGCCTTTTCTCAGACAAAATTCAACTCAGATTGAGAGACAAGCAGGCAATATACATAGCTGCATCCACCTGGTCACCCGCTAAAACGTAACAATGGGATGCCTGTTGAGCTGCAAAAAGCGACCTGACACAAAGGAACAGCGTACCGATGCGAAAAGCCTGCATATTTGCACAAACCAATTCGTCGCAGCTTACGACTTTAACTGCATCCGCGTGTAGAATGACGCCGTTAAAAGTTGCGACAAAGATTATGAAACAAGCACTGCGTTCAATAGCTGGTGTGCTGGTTGTGTTAATCAGCCAACCGCTCATGGCTGAAAATCTGCTCCAGGTATACGAAGCCGCCCAGGAAAACGATGCCCTGCTGCGTGCATCCCGCGCGGGTTTTGCCGCCACCGAGCAGGCGGTACCGCAGGCTCGTTCGGCCCTGCTGCCAAGTCTAGGCGCCAACGCTTCAACCAGTTGGACTGAGCGTGAATTCCCTGGCTCTGTGCTGCAGGATCAGAATTTCAATGACCATGGCTGGAATGCACAACTGCGCCAGTCCATTGTCAACATGGAAGCCTGGTTTGCCTATCGCAGCGCCCGCTCGTCGGTGAACGCTGCGGAGCATAACCTTGCGGCGGATGAGCAGAATCTCATTGTGCGAACCGTGCAGGCCTATCTCAACGTGTTACGCGCCCAGGATCTGCTGGACTCTACCAGCGCTGAAGAAGCCGCAGTGAAACGCCAGTTGGAGCAGGTACAGCAACGCTTCGAAGTTGGCCTGGTGGCCATCACCGATGTACTTGAATCTCAGGCGGTATACGACAACGCCGTTGTCCGACGCATTCAGGCTGACGGTGATCACGACATCTTTTTCCAGAGCCTGAGCACCTTAACCGGCATCACCTACCAGGAACTGGCTCGCCTTTCAGAGGAACTGCCGATTGTTAATCCAAGCCCGGTGGATGAAGACGCCTGGATTGAAGAAGCCATGCGAAGCAATCTGAACATACTTGCAGCACAGGAACAGCTGGCTGCAGCACGCCGAAATGAACGTGCGCGTATTGCCGGCCATCTGCCTACCGTTGACGCGACCGTCACCCAGGTGAGTTCTGTCACTGGCGCGCCGAACTTTTTTAACGCTGACACCACCGAGCAGACCGTTTACGCCCTCGAACTGAATCTGCCACTGTATACCGGCGGGTTTACCAGTTCCCGACGCAAAGAAGCCGGCGCTTTGAAACGCCAGGCACAGGAACTTCTGCTCAATCAACAGCGTACGGTTATCCGCGATATCAGAAATCTGTATCAGGCGGTAGCCACTGACGTTGTGCGGGTTAAAGCCCGATTCAAAGCCATTGAGTCTTCCCGCTCGGCACTGGAAGCGACGGAAACCGGCTATGAAGTAGGTACGCGGAATGTTGTCGACGTTCTGCAGGCCCAGCAGCTGCTGTTCCGCTCCCAGTTCGACTATGCCGATTCACGTTACAACTATGTGCTGAACCTTCTGTTCCTCAAAGATGTTGCCGGTACCCTGAACGATGCAGACCTGGCTGAGCTGAACAAATACACAGATGCGTCAAACCCGGTTAAGCGCCTGGTCTCACTGCGCCAGCGCAGCGGTAATACGAGCCCTCAGTAAAGTCGCTACCCGCTCTGTGGCGCCGCGGTTCTGATCAACCGCGGATGCCGCAGCCCTGCCGCGTCGAGACATTTCTTCAGGATCACGCAGCAGCAGCAGCACCACCTCAGCAAGTTCTTCCGCTGTGTCTATGGTCTGTAATGCATCCAGCTCTGTCAGATGTGCCATCACATCGGTGAAATTGAACTGATGAGGCCCACACACAATCGGCAAACCGCATACGGCAGGCTCCAGCGGATTATGGCCGCCAACCGGCACAAGGCTGCCACCGACAAAGGCGACATTCGCCACCCCGTACAATTCCAGCAGGGTGCCCATCACATCGCCAACAAGCACATCCGGCGCTGCATCCAAAGGCTGTTTCATACTGGCACTCTGGCACGCGACCCGCAGGCCGACGCTTCTGGCCAATTCCACAACTTCATCGGTGCGGACGGGATGCCTGGGCACCAGCAGCAGAATCGTGGCAGGCAGATGCTGGCGGATGATTTGAAACGCCTCCAGCACTAGGGCGTCTTCACCAGGATGAGTTGAAGCTGCTATCCACACCAACTGATCCTGCAGGGCAAACTGCCTACGCCAGTAGGTAACCCGCTGCGCAAATTCCTGGGGCAGCGTGACGTCATATTTGACGCTGCCCAGAGCTGTTGTGGTCTGCGGATCTGCGCCCAGATCGATAAAGCGTTCGACATGGGCCTGGCTCTGACAGGCTATGTCACTGAGTTTGCTCAGCATTGGCCTGCTCAGGCCACTGATACGCCGGTAGCCTCGCGCGGAGCGTTCCGACAAACGCGCATTCACCAGCACAACCGGGATACCTGCTGCATAGGCTTCATCAATTAAGTTGGGCCACAGCTCAGTTTCCATCAGCACCAGAATTTCTGGCTGAACCCGGTGGAAAAAACGTTTCACCCCGGCGGTGAAGTCATAAGGTGCATAACAGTGATCAACGCAGTCACCCAGGCGTTGAACAACTTGTTCGGATCCCGTCGGGGTCATTGTTGTGACAAGAAAAGGGGTCTGAGGAAATTCATCGACAAGCTGGCGGATCAGGGGTGCAGCAGCAATGGTTTCGCCTGCGGACACGGTATGAAACCAGACACAATGAGGGCGCACTTCCGGCGGCACATGGCCGAAACGTTCCGCCTGGCGCTGCCCATATTCAGGCTCGCGTCGCGCGCGCCGGTTCAGCCGCATGCGCACCAGTGGCTGCAGCACCCAGAGCAAGCATCGATATAGCCTCATCATCATGGTTGCAGACTGATGGGTCACCATTAAACTGTCAATCATTCCGCCCTGTAAGGGCGCAACGCCAATCACCATGTCGAGCAGTACTATTTCCAGCAGGACGCTTAGCCACAAGCCGGGGTCAAGCCACACCATCGACGCCGCCATCATCGGTGGCGGTATCGCCGGTGCCTGGGCGCTGAACCTGCTGCAGCAGCGCGGCTACAACTGCATCCTGCTGGAAAGTGAGGCGCTGGGCGCAGACCAGACCCTGGCCTCCCAGGGCATGATCCATGGCGGCCTTAAGTATGCGCTCAGCGGCGTTCTCACCGGCGCATCAGAAGCCATTGCAGATATGCCCAGACGTTGGCGCGCCTGTTTGAACGGCGACGACGATGTTGATCTCCGCGGTACCCGGATACTGTCCGAACACTATTACATGTTCGCTGAGGCCACCACGCTTGGTCGTCTCACCACATTTTTTGCCAGCCGCGCCCTGCGTGGCCGTATCGACAGAATAAAACCCGACCAATGGCCCGCGGAATTCCTGGGCTTCGAAGGCGTCGTTTATCAGCTGAACGATTTTGTGATGGATACTGAAGACCTGTTACGTACGCTGGTCAGCGACCATAAACAGCGCGTGCTCAAGCTTCATGCCGACACCAGTAACATAAAGCCCCACGCTGACGGGGGTTATGAAATTACCCTTACCGATACAACCGTGCATGCCAGCACATTAATCAGCTGCGCAGGCAATGGCAGCAGCCAGTTGCAGCAGGCGTTAGGCATTACCAACCTGTCGGTGCAACAGAGGCCGCTGAAGCAGGTTATTGTCAAACACCAACACGATGTCATGATGTTTGCCCACTGTTTAACAGGTATTGCCAGTGACGAGCCGCGTTTGACCATCACCAGTCACCGGGAAGACAACTGTGTGAGCTGGTACCTTGGCGGCCAACTGGCTGACAAAGGGGTTGAGTTATCTGATGATGAACAACTGGCCACCGCCCGCGCGGAGCTTGAAACCTGCGTGCCGTGGCTTGACTGGCAGGCAGCACAGTTCGAGATTCTCACCGTCAACCGGGCAGAACCGCAACAGGCCAGCGGCATCAAGCCTGACGAAGCCCATGTGGTGCGCCAGCAGGATTTCATCCAGTGTTTTCCAACCAAGCTGACCCTGGCACCTGACCTCGGAGACAAACTCATCAACGTGCTCGACAACCCCAGGCATTCCACGCCACTGCAGACCAATCATCCGCAAGCTGAGCTCGGCATCTCGCCATGGTAAACCCCCTCCCTCTCCTGGCGCTGGGTAACACCGGACTGCTGGTCAGCAAGCTCAGCCTGGGCACTGTGAAATTTGGCCGCGACCAGGGGGTACGCTATCCCACGCCGGTAAAGATACCCACCGACAAGGAGATCATCAGCCTGTTAGAGCAAGCTGCGGAAATGGGGATCAATCTGATTGATACTGCACCAGCTTATGGCAACAGCGAAGAGCGGCTGGGCAACTTGTTAAAGCACACGTCCCAGCGCTGGCTGATCTGCACCAAGGTTGGCGAGGAATACGCCGATGGCATTTCCAGCCACAACTTCAGCCCGGAGCATTGCCGCATGAGTGTGGAACGCTCTCTGCAGCGACTCAATGTCGACACTCTGGATATCGTGTTGATTCATTCAGATGGTAACGATATCGATATACTGCAGAATCAGGGCACTCTACAGGCGTTACAGGACCTGAAACAGGCGGGTAAAATAAGAGCCGTGGGCATGTCACACAAATCCCGTGCAGGGGGTGAAATGGCGCTGGCGATGGGCGCTGATGTGATGATGGCAACCCTTAACCGCAGCGAAACAGATGATGCAGAACTGATAGAAAACGCTGCGGCGGATGGTTGTGGCGTGCTGATTAAAAAGGCCCTGTCCAGTGGCCATGGCAGCAGTGCAGACCTGACTTTTGTCGCTCAACACAAAGGTGTACACAGTATTGTTGTGGGCACGACAAGCCCGGCACACCTGCGCGAAAATGTTGACGCCATAAACGCCGCGGGCTAGCTGCCTTTGCTGCCGCGAATGCGATTCACTATGGCTGAGGTCGAAATATCCGAGACCAGGCCTAACACCTGTACTTCACCACCATAAGATCGCACAAGATCGGCGCCGACCACACCGTCAGGACCATAGTCGCCACCTTTGACCAGCACTTCAGGCTGTAACAGCTGCAGCAAGGGTTCCGGCGTGTCTTCAGAAAAACTCACCACCCAGTCAACGCAGCTCAAACCTGCCAGCACGCGACTACGGCCTTCTACCGCGTTTACCGGCCGGCCCTCGCCTTTCAGACGGGTCACCGAGGCATCATCGTTGATGGCCACAATCAGGCGATCACCCAGAGCGGCGGCTTCTTCCAGATAAGACACATGCCCCGCGTGCAGAATGTCAAAACAGCCGTTGGTAAACACAACGCGTTCCCCGTTGGCTTTTGCATCAGCCACCGCACGCGCCAGTTCATCCCGTGTCATCAGACCCCGATCAGCAACCGTGCCCTGCAGAACCTGACGCAGCTCAGGCCCGGTGACCGGCGCGGTGCCTGATTTCGACACGGCGATGCTGGCTGCAACGTTAGCGATCCGCGCACAATCAATCAGAGGCCACTTCAAAGCGAGGCCCAAAGCCAGGGTCGCCGCGGTTGTATCACCGGCACCGGTGACGTCATACACCTCAACCGGGCGAGCCGGCAGATGGCGTTTTTCTGTGGGTGTGCAAACATCCATACCCTCGCCGCCACGGGTGACCACCACGCCATCAACAGAAAGCAGCTGCACCAACTGCAGGGCTGCATCCTCTTTTTTGTCCAGATCCGTGCGTATCGACAGCGCATGAGCAAACTCTTTTTCGTTGGGCTTGATCACACTGGCGCCACGATAAACGTCCAGGGGTTTCATTTTGGGATCGACAAGCACAGGTACGGAGCGCTCGTTGGCCGCAAAAATAAGCGCTTGCGCGTCTTCTATGGCGCCTTTGTCATAATCTTCCAGAATCAGCACATCTGCTTCACGCAGATGTTTTTCTATCTTGTTCTGCACCACACCAATGCGTTCGCTGGCGCCGTAATCCGGTACCGGGGACTCGAAGTCGGCTCGGATCAACTGCTGCTTCTGGGCAAGCACCCGCAGCTTCACAATGGTTGGCCAATCCGGCACTTTGACAAAATCACAAACGACGCCAGCGGCGGTGAGCGTAGCGGTTAACGTCTCACCGGCCTCATCGTCTCCAACCAGCCCCACCAGGGTGCACTGGGCGCCAAGGCTGACCAGGTTCAGCGCCACGTTTGCCGCGCCACCGGGCCTGTGTTCGGTTTTCTGCACGCTGACCACCGGCACAGGGGCTTCCGGCGAAACACGATCCGCAGGTCCGTGCCAGTAGCGGTCCAACATAACATCACCCAGCACAAGAATTTTGAGTTGGCCAACCGACGGTAAATTGGGAATAGCTGCTTTGAGGCTCAAGTTACGTTCTACCGGGTTAAAATCCGCGGCATATTAACACGGCTGTGCATTCGCCTGCGCGCCCGATAACGGCTATGATCCGCGCCCGATGGCAAGGCGCAAACCCATACGCAAACGATACGCACCCTCAGTGTGGCCAACCTGGCTGCTGATTGGTATGGCGTGGGTGATTGCACGCCTGCCGTTACGTTGGATTTTCAGCCTGGGTGATCGCATCGGTCGCCTTGCTTACCGCATTGGCGGCGCCCGCCGTAAAATCGCCGAAACCAATATTCGACGATGTTTTCCTGAGCTGTCCGCCCAAGAACAGGACCAGTTGGTGCAGGACACCTTTGCTGCCGTCACCCTGGGTGCTCTGGAAATGGCCATTCCCTGGCTGAATCCCGAACGCGATCTCAGTGCACATTTCACCGTGCACGGCATCGATAACCTGGATGCCGCTTTATCTCACGGACGCGGCGCAGTGCTGGTTGGCGGCCATTTTGCGGTGATGGATGCCATCTGCCAGCCGTTGCGCGACATAGGCAGCATCGACGTCATGTATCGATTCAACAAGAACCCAGCCTGGGAATGGGTACAGGTACAGGGGCGAGCCCGCTTTTTTGATGGTGTAATAGAGCGGGAGAATATTCGCGGCACATTAAAGCGACTCAAACAGGGTCGCGCCATCTGGTATGCGGCCGACCAGGACTACGGTCGTAAACACTCAATATTTGCGCCTTTCTTTGGCATCCCCACGGCAACCATTGTCGCCACGTCACGCTTCGCTCGTTTAAATAATTCACCGGTTTTGATGATGGTACAGACCCGTGACGTTGAGAAGCTGCACTGGCATATTCATTTTTTGCCGATGCTGGAGAATTTTCCCAGCGGTGATGACACCGCCGACGCCACGCGCCTCAATCAATTGCTTGAGCAGCAGATCAGACAGAACCCGGCGCAATACCTGTGGATGCACAAACGTTTCAAAACCCGCCCGGAAGGCGACCCGCCGTTCTATTCTAATTAGCGTCGTCTCTGACTAACGTTGTCGATAAACCGTCAGCACGTGATCCAGACTGCGTGCCAGAGAGGCGATGGAAAAATGTTGGTCAACCCGCAAGCGCCCCTGGTGGAGCAGTTCGTCCCGGTCCAACTTAACCGCTCGGGCCAGCGCATCGGCAAAACCCTGGGGAGAATCCTCGCTGGCATAGGCACCCAGCTCACCGAGCACATATTTTGGCCCACCCTGGGGCAAGGTGACCACCGGCACACCCGCGTACATGGCTTCAAGCACCACCATGCCAAAAGCCTCCACCTGTACCGGATGCAGCAGGACATCAAAAGCTTGAAAATAATTCTGCGCCTGGGGCACCTGGCCCAGGTAAAAAATATTGTCTGCCTGGGGCAGCTCCCGAGTATCACCACCGCCCAGGAAAACGAGTCGACTGCCAGCGTTTTGTTGCGAAAAGCGGGCAAACGCTTCCGCAGACAGTTTGGGCCGCTTTTTATAGTGAATGCGTCCGACAACACCGACGGTGAGTGGGCCTTCCGGCAAACCCAATGCTGCAAGCGCATCTGCGCGAGACAGCAGCGCCGCCGCGGACCCAGGCACATCTAATACGTTAGGCAGCACAATCGGCTCGTGTTTCGGCTTTGACTGCAATTCTGCCGCCACGTCCGGCGAGACACCTGCAAAGTGCATACGCGAAGCAAACAGCCGCCGGTTCCAGCGGCGTTGACGACGCGACATCATGCCAAACTCATGGGCCACAACCACACAGAGGTTATGTGCCAGAGGTGAGCGCGCGATCGCCCAATAAGGCCGATAACGATGGCAGATCACCATGGCCCACTTCTCTGCACTGAAACCAGCAAGCGCACGGCGGATTGCTGCGGTGTCAGCAAGATCTTCAAGATTGAGATATCTGACCCGCTCGGGCACTTCCGTGGTGCCCTCTGATGCACCCAGGAAGACCGTGGTCATCTCGATCCCTAAAGATGCTGCAGCCAGTTCATAACGCCGGCAAAGCTCACCAAATGGCGAGATATCGTGGGGGCAGATCTGCAGAATACGCTGACTCACCGCGCATCCTTGGTGACCAGGAAATCTTCCAGCAGCAGATACTGCAGATCACAGCCAAAAAACATATTCAGCGCATCATCCGGAGAACACACCATCGGTTCACCACGCCGGTTTAAGGACGTATTGAGCAACACACCATTGCCGGTACTTTCCTGCATCATCTGCAAAAGCTGATGATAGCGAGGGTGGGCCTGCTCATCGACAACCTGCACCCGCGCCGTGCCATCCTCGTGAACCACTTCAGGGATCCGCTCACGCCAGGCCGGCGCAACATCAAAGGTCATAGTCATGTAAGGCGCAGGATGCGGCGGCTGAATAAGTTCCGCCGCCACCTCAGGTAAAACGCTGGGGCAGAACGGCCGCCATCGCTCCCTGAACTTGATCTGCGCATTTATTTTATCTGCGATACCAGGGGTGCTGGGACACCCCAGAATGCTGCGACCACCCAGGGCGCGGGGGCCAAATTCCATCCGACCCTGAAACCAGGCCAGCGGGTGCCCATCGGTTAAGATGTCAGCCGCCGCGCTTACCGGGTTGTCCATACGCTGCCAGTGACAGGTTTCCGAACGCTTCTGTAACGCAGCAAGGCACGCGTCCCCGTCAAAAGACGGACCCAGATAAACGTGTTGAAGGGGCGCAATTCGATCACCCTGCTGGTTTGCTACAAAAGTAGCGGCCCCTAAGGCGGTGCCTGAATCGCCCGACGCCGGCTGCACATACAGGTGATCAATGTTCGCCTCACCAAGCAGACGCTGATTGAGCTTCACATTGAGTGCGCCGCCACCAGCAAACACCAGCTGTCGCGTTTCGTCCAACACATCACCCAGGTAACGTTGAGTTAACCTGATCACCCAGTCTTCATAGAGCCGCTGCATCGCTGCCGCATAGTGCACGTAAGGTTCATCTGCATCATCGTTGCGACGACGCGGACCCAGCCAATCAACAAGCGCATCGCTGAAGTAGAAAGCCTGGCCCTGATCTTTATGGCGCCGCAGTCCAACCACATTGACATATCTGGTGTTGGCTCTGAAACCATCGCCGCTGGGCTGTATCAAACGCGATAAATCATATTTGTCGGGATCACCATAAGGGGCCATCCCCATGACTTTGTATTCGCCATCCAGCATTTCAAAGCCAAGGTATTCGGTGAGTGCACCGTAAACGCCGCCCAGTGAATCCGGATCATAAAATTCTTTTAAGGTGTGTATCTGACCGTTTTCACCATAACCGAAAAAGGTCGTGGCATATTCACCTTTGCCATCCACACCCAGAATTGCGGTCTTACCTTCCAATCCTGAAAGATGATACGCACTCGAGGCGTGGGAAAGATGATGTTCCACAGGCACAAACCGTGTCTTGTCCCAGTTAATGCCGAGCCGTTCACCTAGAGATAAAATGTCACGCCGGTGACTACGAAATCGACGATTGCCATTGAGCAGTGCATCCAGGGCTCGGTCCGGCGCATACCAGTAGCGTGCCGCGTAGACCCATCGGGCTTTTCTGAACAGGCTTATTGGGGCGTAGGGAAAAGCCACACAATCGACATCTTCTGCCCTCACCCCAGCCTGCGCCAGACAATAGCGTGCCGCCTGCTCCGGCCACTGATTTTTTGCATGTTTGTCGCGGGTGAAGCGTTCTTCTTCAGCAGCAGCAATCGTCTCACCATCGATCACCAGCGCCGCGGAGGCATCGTGCCTTAACGCACCAGACAGACCTAGAACGATCATAAACCAGCTTCTACCAGGGCGCGCTGCCATTGCGCCCGCAGCGCAGGCTGATCCTCCCAGTTTGCCAGGAAGCGGCGTATGTCACGTGCATTGTCACCAGATTGCACAGCGTCATAGTCGATCAAGCGCACGGTGGATTCATCAATCACAAAATTGGTGGCTTTCAGGTCACCGTGCTGCAGATTCGCAGCTTTCAGCCCCTGCAGCAATGCCACAGTTGGCGCAGCGAGTTGTGCAAAGTCTTGCGGGCGATTGGCCAGCGTCTGGCCGAGGTTACGCTCGCCGCAATCCGGCATAACAAGATAGCAGACGCTATTAAACCAGCCCCAGCGCAACTCCAGCAGGGCAACCGGTTTTGCGGTGGCAATCTTGAGGAAGGCGAGCAGGTGACCGTTTAACCAGGCATGCCGGGCGCGCCGTTTAAACCAGCGGCGTATTCGATGCATCAGGCCTTTGATGTTGTAACGCTTAACAATGTAGGGCACACCGTCGATATGCATGCGCACAACTGTGGAACTGTTACCTAATTTAAGTGGCGTGCCATCACCGACAAACGATTCAGGAAACAGCATGAAGCGCTGCAGCCGCGCAAATTGGTCACGATCACACAGAAAGTTAAAACGGAAATTTGATTGCCGGACAAATTCTGAACATTGCCGCTGGGTTTTTTTAAGATACCGGCGCACCCTCTGTTGCCGTGCTTTGGCCGTGAGCTTACGTAACTGTGCGGCTGATCCCATGCGACTGACATAGGCACCGCGCGCGGCGCTATAGGCTGCCCAAACCTCATCAATATCAACATCTGCGACAGGCGCCCGTTGTGCTAACAACATCGCCAGGTTGGCAAAGTGCTGGCGCAGCAGATGTGCGCGTCGAATACCGTCGGTATCGACAGCAAAGTATCGCCCTTCATAGCGCAGAAAATTAAAGATGTGCACGTCAGTCTGAACCAGACTGGCGTCATGCATATCTGCCAGCAGCTGCACCGCCGCCAGCATATCCTCCAGGTCACCATCAGATAAATTGTGCGGATCGTGCAGCGGCTCAAACAGCACAACAAATCCATCACCATCAGCACAGGCACCTGTTGCCAGCACCTGGGGTGTATTCACCTCCGCAGCATGCAGGCGGCGGGCACCGAGGAGTTCGCGCTGCCAGTAGCGGCGTGCATTCGGGCCGTAAAACACTTTGGCAAACACAACCTCACCGGCATGGGTTGCCAGACCACTGACCCGGCGCCCAGGCAGCACGCGAGCGACGTCGGTAAAGTTCAATTCTGTGGTGGTCTGGTCGACAAGGTTTTCATCGGGATCAAGACAGACGTCCACGACAAATGGCGCAACCAGCTCGCGACCTACCGCGACTAACCCTTCGGAGGAAAACTTCATGGTGTATAAAAGCCTTTCACAATGCCTTTACGCAACCCTTCGGTGTACAGCTTGTTCGCGCGTCGGCGCACCGCCCGCCAAAGGGCAGCATCTTCGCGCAACGCAACGGAAGCAGGCTTACCGCTGTACAGGGCAATGAAACGCAGCCAGTCCCGCTCGCTGAAGCCCAGGTCTAAGCTGGAAAACAGCAACGCTGCAAGGTCTCTTTTCAACCACCGAAAAGGCACTTTGTTGAAACGCCGTGCGCGATGCAGGTCTAACACGGCAAGTGAAACCGAACCCCCTGTACGAACAGCATCGTCGGAAAGCAGATGGCATATATAGAAATCTCGATGAATAAACCCTGCCTGGTGGAAGCGACGTGCAAATAGCGCAACCGCATACAAATACCGTTGGCGCTCAATGGGGCTTGGCGGATTATCCGGCCAGGTGTCGGTGATGTCTTCAAGGCTGGTGAAACCCGCCAGCTCGTCACACAACACAAAAGAGCGCCGTGATGCAATACTACCTGAAGACACCGCAAACGCAGCCGGCGCGGGCGCGCGAATCTGTTCTTCCAGCAGAGCCTTACACACATCAAATTCATTGGTTGCGCCAATTACCGGCCACTTGAACTGCAGCCAGTTTTTGATCACCTCAGACCAACCAACACCATAGTGCAGTTTAACGAAGTAGGCTCTGTCGTTCAGCACGACACGCAGCGTGCGACGTCCAGGCACATCCCGGAAGACCTCGCCCTGCAAAGCAAATGCCGTAACAAGAGGATCCTGTCCCTGCCACAGCTGCTGGATATCTTCGCGCAGGTATTTCATCTAAGCACCTTGTAACGACAGGAGGTGCTTTTCAAAAGCCGCTTTATTCCGAACGCGCACCTTCGCCACGCTGGCCTCAATGACCTTCATAGCATGGTCCGGCATGTTGTACAGCTGTTCATTTTCCTGGCCGAAGCGTACACCGTTGTTTGACCAGTCTGCGCGCTGGGTTGGATTCTGTAATACGTCGATGACTGTTTGATTAAGCTGCGCCTGGTCAAAAGGTTCGTCCAGCACCACGCCAGCTTGAGCTTCGGTAATAAAATGGGCAAAACCACACACGCCTGACGCAATGACCGGCAGGCCCGCTATGATCGCCTCCACCAGTACCATGCCGCCGCTTTCCATATAGGCAGGATGGACCATCAGATCGGCGCCCTGCAATACAGCGGGGATATCGTCACGGCCTTTGACGATGATCAGCATATGTTCAACACCCAGGGTTCGAGCCTGGCGCAGGAACTGCCGCGGGTTGTCTTCACCAATCACCAACAGTTTGGTACAACTCTGCAACGACGCGGGCAAACTCGACAACAGCACTAAGGCGCGATCAAGGCCTTTGGTGACAAACCCGCTGCCCACCAGCAGTAACAGATTTTCATCATCACCGATGCCAAACTCCGCACGCACCGCCTGTCGCTGCAACTGCCAGTGGTCACCGCGCATGCGGTCTTTGCTGACACCCGGCGGTAACATGGTCAAACGTTCATCTGGCGTTTGATAGCAGCGCTGGAACTGTTCGCGCTGGCTCTGCGCTATCAGCATGATATCAGTATCTGACTGGTCGCCAAACACAGCCCGCTCAAACGCTGACATGACCCGATAACGTTCCGTGCGGCGATACATGGCGGTACGCATGTTGCGGGCTTTGTGCTCAAAACAGGAGTCCGCTGCATAATAGACATCCAATCCCGGCATACGGTTGAAACCCACAATCGCGGCGGGCTGGCGCCAGCGGGCATCTTCGTGCATGCGTTCAGAAAAGCTCAGATAGCGACTGTGGTTAGACACCCCGGGCGCATCGATGATCACCACCTGAAAGTGCTCGGGGCGTTCACCTTCCCAGGCTGTCGCGTAAATAAGAATGTCATAGCCGCGACGATAAGCTTCATGTGCTATACGCATAAAGTCCCGTTGCAGGCCGCCATAAGCAAAATAGCGAAACAGCACAAATACCAGCAGCGGCCGACTGCCGCGGGCAAACCGCTCAAGATGATCCACCGCTTTAGGCACAAGTTCAAACAACGTGCTCTGATACTTCGCGGCCAGACCATTGGCCCGCCAGGTACTACGCTCAGGAGACGTCAACAATTCCACCAGCGCCTCATTCAGCGCGATCTGGGAGAATGGCAGCGGCAAAACAATACCCGTGTTCGTCTCGCTAAGGTGTTTAGCGTAACCACAATTACGTGTTACCAGGGCGGGCAGCCCCGCCAACATCGCTTCAATGATGACCATGCCCGCTGTTTCGTCGTAAGCGGGATGCAGCAGTGCGTCCGCGGAAAACAGAAAGCGCGGTACGTCGTCACGCCCTTCGGCAAAGAAGGTAACCTGGGAAGACAGCCCCAGGCGCATACTCATGCGTTCAAAAGCATCACTTTTATCGCGCCCGATCACATACATACGCACGCGATCACGTAACTCGGCAGGCAACGCAGCCACCGACAGCAGCGCGCGGTCCAGACCTTTCTTTATGAACCCTGAGCCTATAAATAGAATGACCAGATGATCTTCGGTCAGACCAAATTCCCGGCGAAACTCCGCACGAATTTCGGTGACGTTATCCGGGGCTACCCGATCCCGTTCAATACCCGGTGGCAGCGGGTGAAACCGCTCAGCCGGAGTTCGATAGTGCTGTCGATAAAGGGGTACCTCAACATTGGAAATGGTGAGAATTTCAGTATTACTTGCGGCTTCAAACACGGCCCGCTCGGCAGCCACAAAACTTTTGAAGCGAGGCAACAGACGATAGACGGCACTGCGCTGGGAGAAGGCTTTTTCTATGTAACAGGAATCACCGGCGTAGTAGACATCCAGCCCCGGCATTTTGTTAAAGCCAAGAACCAGATCAAAATTGTCAGCAGCTACCGCTTTATTCACGGCTTCGGCAAATCGCTCGTACTGGCGGTGGCGTGCCAGCCCCGATATGGGGATTACTTCAAGCTCAAGGTCAGGATCAATGGGTGCCTGCCAGCGCAGGGTAAATATTTTGACCTCGTGGCCACGCCGTTTACATTCGTTCAACATTTTCATCATGTCGCGCTGAATGCCGCCGTAGGGGAAATACTTGAAAATGCAGAAAGCAAAGCGCATCAGCTCTGCCTCATCAGATCTTGCGCCTGCTGCCAGACAACAGAAGGTGTCAGTTCGGCAAAACAGGGTGGCGTGACCTCTTGTGACTGCCACCGCTCGGGCGCACCACGATAACTACACGTACTGGACAAACACGGCGCACAGGCAAAGCTCGACTGCAGAACCTGCGCACGGGAACCGCGACAACCCGTTAACACCCCATCGGTCGGGCCATACAAACCAAGGGTTGGTGTGCCCAGGGCAGCAGCCAGATGTGTGAGTCCTGAATCCACACCAATGACCCCGGCGCTTTGTGCCAGTTGTGGTGCAAGCAGTTTCAGAGCGGTGCGATCCTGCAGGCGAGCGCCACTGGCCTCGGTGATCTGCCGGGCACGCTGCCGTTCGACATCGTCACCCCAGGTGAGCACTGGCTCGTACCCCGCAGCACTTACCTGCTGTGCAAGCGCCTGCCACATTATCGGCGGCCAATGTTTGGTCGCCCAGGTTGTGCCGTGTAACAGGAACACCTGGTTATTGCGTTCGTTAGGCTGAACAGTTGCGCCGATGTCGGGCAATTCGTCCGGGTTATAGCTATAGCCAAGGGCCGCAGCAAACAACTGGCGCTGTCGATCAATCGCGTGCTGGCCACGCTCAACGCGGTGACCTTTGCCATAGAAAAAAGCAGCCCAGGGCTCCCGCGCACAGGTATGCGAAAAGCCATGTTTGACCGCGCGGTTTAACACGCTGACCAACGCGCTTTTGATCAACCCCTGGGAATCGATCACCAGGTCGTAGGTGTTGCTGGCAAGTGTTTCGCGAAACGCTGACATTTCCGCCCCACTGGCTTTGAGATTTTTGCGCCAGCGCCGCCAGGCAATAGGGATCACCTGACGCACCGCGGGATGTAATGCGGGGATATCTGCAAACGCTTCTTCCACCACCCAGTCAAAAGTAATGCCGTGTGCTGCAGCATCACTGACTGCGGGCAAGGCGTGCACAACATCACCAAGCGACGACATTTTTATGAGCAGAACACGCACAGTTACAATTCACCCATGCGGGCGATCACCTGTTGCGGCGCAAGTTGTCGCAAACAGTTTAAATGCCCCAGAGGGCAAGTCCGTTGAAAACACGGCCGACAACCCATCTCCAGCTCAACCACCCGGGCCTGCGGCCCAAGCGGCGGCGTGAATTCTGCTGATGTTGAACCGAAGATACCCATTGTGGGTTTACCCAACGCGCAGGCGACGTGCATCAAACCAGAGTCGTTACAGATGACCTGTTCAGCAACTGACAAGAGATCTATGGCATCCACCAGCGAGGTATGACCGGCCAGGTTTTCAACCCCCGGCGCCAACTGCGCAATCGCGGCACAATCGTCCACATCTTTTGGCGATCCTAACAGCCAGACCTGTTGGCCGTTGTCCAACAGCTGCCTGGCGACTTCCGCATAGTGCTCACCAGGCCACTTTTTGGCTTCGCCGAATTCGGCACCAGGACACAGGATGGCGACATTGTCGGGCTGCAGCGCAAAGGCCTGCAGACAACGTTGCAGATTTTCTTCATCTACCACCAGGCGAGGCAAGGGGTACGGCTGTTCAGGCAGTTGCCAGGTATCGCTGGCCAACGCCATAAACCGCTCGATCATCAACGGATAAGCGTCTTTATCCAGCAAAAGCTGGCGATTGAGCAAACCGAACCTGGCTTCGCCGCGCCAACCGATGCGTTCCGGAATGCGTGCCAGGAAAGGCACAAGCGCAGATTTCCAGCTATTGGGCAGCACGTAGGCACAATCAAATCCGATCTGGCGCAACCGCTCCGCTGCCTGTCGACGTCGACCCAACTGCCATTGCCCATGGCCCACCTCCAGGCTATGCACTTCGTGCACTTCCGCCATTCGGGTTGCCAACGCAGCCGTAGCAGGCGGCGCCAGAACATGCAGCTGTATATTCTTGTGCTGCGCCGCCAACAGCTGGAGCAGCGAGTGGGCCATGACCATGTCCCCCACCCAGGCTGGCGCAATGATTAGGGCTTTCACGCCACCGGCGAGAGCCATTGAGGAAAGGCGTCACGTTTGCCGCGCACCTGGTCAAAATAAATGCTTTGCAACTGCTCGGTAATTGGACCACGTTCGCCGGAACCAATGGTGCGGTTATCGAGGGAGCGGATGGGCAGCACTTCCGCAGCGGTGCCGGTAAAGAACGCTTCGTCCGCAATGTAGACCTCATCTCGAGTGATGCGGCGCTCGTGTATTTTCAGGCCTTGCTCTGCAGCCAGAGCAAAAATCGTATCACGGGTGATACCTGCCAGACAGGAGGTGAGCTCTGGCGTGTGTAGCTCGCCATTTTTCACCAGGAATATATTTTCACCACTGCCCTCGGCCACATAACCTTCGTTATCGAGCAGCAGGGCTTCATCACATCCGGATTGCAGGGCTTCCTGCAGCGCCAGAATTGAATTGGTGTAGTTACCATTGGATTTGGCTTTGCACATGGTGATATTGACATGGTGCCGGGTGAATGAAGACGTACGCACTTTAATGCCTTTCTCTGTGGCGTCCGCATCCATGTAGTTCGGCCAGGGCCAGGCGGCAATACTCAAGTGCACCTGTAACCCTTCAGCACGCAAACCCATGCCTTCACTACCCAGAAAGGCCATGGGCCGCAGATATCCTTCATCCAGTTCATTGGCCTTAAAGACCTCGCGCTGGGCTGCGCTCACCTGCGCCTGGGTGTAGGGCATCTTCATACCCAGGATATGGGCTGAGTTGAATAAACGCTGGGTATGCTCTTCAAGACGGAAGATGCAGGGACCGGCGGGGGTGTTGTAGGCACGAACGCCTTCAAAAACGCCCAGGCCATAATGCAGCGTATGGGTTAATACATGGACTTTGGCATCACGCCAGGGCACTAACTCGCCGTCCATCCATATCCAACCGTCACGGTCGGCAAAATTCGGATTTGTCATTCACTTCTACTAGGTGGAACCAAAGCGCGGTATTGCACCATAAATGGGCTCACCAATACAGCAACAGCGCACCTCACTCGACGGGAATGATCAGGTATCCTGCGATGCGGGAGATACCCGCAATACCTCAGCAATGGTGGTCAGGCCTGCGCCAACTTTTTGCGCGCCAGACAGGCGCAGGGTACGCATGCCCTGGGAGAAACCCGCTTTACGGATATTTTCTAAATTAACATCACCGGTAATCGCCGCCTGGACTTTGTTGTTCATCGGCATGATTTCGTAGATACCCATGCGGCCGAGATAGCCCGTATCACGACATTCAAGACAGCCCTGAGGGCCAAATACTTTTGCCGGAGGTTTGACTTTGAACGGCTCGGTCATCAACTGCCAGGCTTCAAGGTCTACCTCTTCTTCCACCTTGCAATGGGGACACAGCGTACGCACCAGGCGCTGGGCCATGACGCCAAGCACAGTGGCTTTGATCATATAAGGAGGCACACCTAAATCGAGCAGACGAGACACCGCGGTGGGTGCATCGTTGGTGTGCAGGGTAGAAATCACCAGATGACCGGTCAACGCAGCCTGAATGGCCATTTCGGCAGTTTCCAGATCGCGAATCTCACCCACCATGATGATGTCCGGATCCTGGCGCAGCAGTGCACGTACACCGGACGCAAAATCGACGTCGATATTGTGTTGCACCTGCACCTGATTAAACGACGGTTCCACCATCTCAATAGGGTCTTCAATGGTGCAGACATTAACTTCGTTGGTGGCCAGCTGCTTCAGCGTGCTGTAAAGGGTAGTGGTTTTACCCGAACCCGTCGGGCCCGTGACCAGCACAATCCCGTTGGAAGCATGCGTCATGTCATGCCAGCGTTTGTAATCGTCGCCGGACAATCCCAGCTCCTGAAAACTGCGCAGCAGCACGTCGGGATCGAAGATCCGCATGACCATTTTTTCGCCAAACGCGGTGGGCAAAGTAGATAAGCGCAGTTCAATTTCGTTGCCTTCCTGGCCCACTGTTTTTACCCGACCGTCTTGAGGGCGGCGTTTTTCAGCCACGTCCATGCGACCCAGTATTTTCAAGCGGCTGGTGACCGCCGCGTTCACCGCTTTGGGCAACTCATAAACATGATGCAGGACGCCGTCGATGCGAAAACGGATCAGGCCTTTATCGCGTCTGGGCTCAATGTGAATATCACTGGCGCGCTGATCAAAAGCGTACTGCAACAGCCAATCAACAATGTTCACCACGTGGGCATCGTTGGCTTCGGGCGATTTCATCGAACCCAGCTCGAGCATCTGCTCGAAGTTGGTGATGGTAGTGACTTCCATGCCGGCTTCTTCTGCTTTCGCGGCAGAACGGGCGATGGTGTAGAACTCTAACTGGTAGCGGGTGAGGTCCGCAGGATTACACACCACCCGGCGAATACGGCGACCACGCAGAGTTTGCGTGAGCATCGATTCCCACTGATACATGTAGGGCTGACCGCTGGCGACAACTACGTAGTCATCAGCCACATCAATCGCCAGAATATTGTGGCGCTGAGCAAAAGCATAAGACATGACCTCTGTGGCCGCATTCACGTTGATGCTGAGCGGATCTATCCGCACGTACGGCTGATTAACCCGCTGACTGAGCCAGATGGTGAGCGTTTCAAGATCAAGAGTTTTGTTGTTCGCTGAATTGCGGTTTTCATACTCGCGGCTGGCAATGATCTCCAGCGGGTGCATGCTGAGCTCTTTCTGCGTGCGTTGCGCAATAAGAATATCTTCCGCCTGGCGCTGACCGATAAACCCATCTTCGACAATGGCTTCGAGCAATACCGGCAGATCGAGCAACAGCTCCTGCTCATTATCAAAGATATTGCCGCCAAAGCCCCGCTTTGAGGTCAAAACCGGCGTCTTATCGACCTTTGTATTTGTTCCAGGGGCAACGTCCGGCAGCTCCACTGTGCCGTCTTTGGGTACGGAAGATAACCCTGGAGATTGCGATTGCGGTGAACTAGCCAAGCAGTTGTCCATTCATGCTGTAAACGTGATTACCGCAGTATCCCCTTCAGACGATGATTTGCAAGCCATTCACGTGGCAGATTAGACCCACATCACAGGGTAAAAAACTCTTTTAATTAAACCACTTAAGTGCAATTACCCAGACCTTGGGACTACAATACCGGCCTTCTTTAACAGCTGTGGGATAACTACCCCACGCGGGAAAAATTGCGTGTTACCCAAATTTGACGACATGCTGGCAACCCTGGTGAGCGAGCCTTCCGTAAGCTCTCTGACGCCAGCCATTGATCGCAGCAACCTGCGCGTGATTGAGCACCTGGCCAACTGGCTCGACGCTCTGGGTTTTGACACCGAACTGATGCCCCTGCCTGATGCCCCGCACAAAGCCAACCTTGTTGCGACCTTAGGCTCCGGAGAGGGCGGCCTGGTGCTCGCGGGGCACACTGATACCGTGCCCTTCGACGAAACAAAATGGCAAACCGATCCGTTCACCATGACCGAGAAAGACAACAGGCTGTACGGCCTTGGCGCCTGCGATATGAAAGGCTTTTTCCCAGTGGCATTAGAAGCGGCCACCACCTTCATTGATAAAAAACTCACCGCACCGCTGACCATTGTCGCCACCTCCGACGAAGAGTCTTCCATGGCGGGTGCACGTTATCTGGTCGAGGGCGGCAAACCCAAAGCCAGTTACGGCATTATTGGTGAGCCGACCGGGCTGATGCCCGTGTACGCCCACAAAGGCATCGCGTTTATCTCAATTAAGTTACAGGGTGCATCCGGGCATTCCTCTAATCCGGACCTGGGCTGCAACGCGCTGGACTCCATGCACAAGGTCATGAGCGACCTGATTGCGTTTCGCCAGGAACTGGCCAATGACCACATCAACCCCGCATTTGAGGTGCAGGTACCGACAATGAATCTGGGCTGCATGCACGCGGGGGACAGCCCCAATCGCATCTGCAGCCATGCTGAATTGCAGATAGATATGCGCTTACTGCCCGGCATGGATACAAACGACACCATTAAACGCCTGCAGGAACGTCTGCAGAAAGCCATCGCCCAATGTGGCACCGCGCTTACCGTCACGACCCAATACCCGCCGGTACCGCCTTTTGAGTCCGATCTGCAGGGTGACCTGGTGCAGACTTTAGCGACACACTCCGGCGTAGCACCTGGCACTGTCGCATTTGGCACCGAAGGGCATTTCCTGCAGAGTCTGGGTATGGAAACTGTTGTGTGGGGACCTGGCAGCATTGATCAGGCACACCAGCCCAATGAATATCTTGCACGTGATCAGATTGGTGCCGCACAAGACACCTTAAGACAAGTGATCGCACGCTACTGCACGAGCTGACAGAGATGGAAACTTCTACGTATGCACGGTGGTTCCGTGGCTCAACCCCATATATCAGCGCGCACCGCAACAAGACATTTGTGGTGCTGGTACCGGGCGAGGCTTTTGAACATGTAAATCTTTCCAACATGGTTCACGACCTTGCCCTGTTACATGTGCTCGGCGTACGTCTGATTCTTGTGCATGGTGGCCGCCCGCAGATCGAGCTGGCGTTGCCCGAATCTTTTTACCATGGGCATAGACGTGTCACCGACGAACTCGCGATGTCGACCATCACTGCAGTCAACGGACAGTTGCGCACCCGCCTGGAAGCGCTGTTTTCGACAGGCCTGCCCAACTCACCGCTGCACAAAGTCGACATCCCCGTGATTGCAGGTAATTTCATCACGGCACAACCCATGGGCATTCTGGATGGCGTAGACCATCTGTTCACGGGCAGCGTGAGACGCGTTGAGACCCGACGCATCAGGAACAGCCTGGATGGCGGCGCACTGATCATTCAATCACCGGTGGGCTACTCTCCATCAGGTCAGGTTTTTAATCTGCCTGCGGAAGAGGTGGCCACAGAAATTGCGATCGCGTTACAGGCAGACAAGTTGATTTTCTTTGATGAAGTGGCACACCTGCGAGACGAGCAGGGAAAACGCATCAGCACGGTGACGCCAGGCAGCCTGGACCAGGCCCTGGCCACTACGGATGATGCAAACGCAACACGACTGCGCTACCTGCAGCAAGCCGTTCGGCGCGGCGTGACTAAATCGCACCTGGTACCTTTCACAGACGACGGCGCCCTTCTGGCGGAGCTGTTTACCGCTGAAGGCATTGGCACACAGGTCGTTGAACAACAGCACAAAGGGGTGCGAGCAGCTACACGCGAAGATGTTGCCGGCATTGTTGAAGTCATTCGGCCCCTGGAAGAATCTGGTGCTCTGGTGCGTCGTGAACGCGATCGACTGGAACAGGAAATAGATAATTTTCTGGTTGCGGAACTGGACGGCATCGTGGTCGGCTGTTGCGCGGTATATCCCTACGGCGCGCAGGCAGAACTCGCGTGTGTTGGCGTGCATGAAAACTACCAGGCCGGCAATGGCATAGGCGCACGCCTGCTTGCAGCCGCTGAAGAAACCGCACGCAACAACAACGTAAACACCCTGTTTGTACTGACCACCCAGACAAGAGACTGGTTTTTAGAACAGGGGTTTACCGACGCAAGCCCGGATCAGTTACCTGAACAGAAACAAATGTTATACAACTGGCAGCGCAATTCTGCGGTGATGGTTAAGACCCTATAATTACGAGGAATACCCATGGCGGACGAAAGACCGTATTCATCCATTGTTGTTGATGGCGTAGAACAAGCACCCAGCCGTGCGATGCTGTATCCGGTTGGCTTCACTGAAGAAGATTTCAAGAAACCACAAATCGGCATCGCCTCGACCTGGTCAATGGTCACCCCTTGTAACATGCATATCAACGCACTCGCTGATGAAGCCGTGAAAGGTGCTGATGCTGCGGGTGCTAAAGCCGTGCTGTTCAACACAATCACGGTATCCGACGGTATTTCCATGGGCACACCAGGCATGCGCTATTCGTTAGCCTCCAGGGAAGTGATCGCCGACAGCATCGAAACCGTTGTTGGCGCACAGGGATTTGATGGGTTTGTTGCCATAGGTGGCTGCGACAAAAATATGCCTGCCTGCGGCATCGCGATTGCTCGCATGAATCGACCCGCCGTTTTCGTTTACGGCGGCACCATCATGCCGGGCGCTGAACGGCGCGACGTGGTTTCGGTTTTCGAGGCGGTAGGACAGCACGCCGCTGGCAATCTGTCTGACATCAAGCTCAAAGAAATTGAATCAACTGCCATTCCGGGGCCTGGTTCCTGTGGCGGCATGTACACCGCTAATACCATGGCATCGGCCATGGAAGCGCTGGGTTTATCGTTACCGAACAGCTCTGCACAAAACGCGATCAGCGACGCAAAAAAACAAGACAGCTACAATGCCGGAGCTGCGGTACGCAACCTGATCAAGCTTGGCCTTAAACCCAGTGACATGTTGAGCCGTGAAGCATTCGAAAACGCCATCACTGTCACCATCGCTCTGGAAGGCTCCACCAACGCCGTATTGCACCTGTTAGCTATCGCACATGCCGCCGGCATTCCACTGGAACTGGATGACTTCACCCGCGTGGGGGCACGGGTGCCTGTGCTCGCCGATATGAGGCCAGCGGGCGTTTACTCCATGAGTGAACTCATCGCTATTGGTGGCATACAGCCATTAATGAAAACGCTACTTAATGAAGGTTTACTGCACGGCGACTGCATGACTGTGACCGGTAAAACACTGGCAGAAAACCTTGCTGGGGTAGCTGACTATCCGTCTGACCAGAAGATCATTCGGCCAATGAACAACCCGATCAAGAAAGACAGCCATCTTGTTATTCTGCGTGGCAACCTTGCACCGGAAGGCGCTGTTGCCAAAATCACCGGCCACGAAGGCTTGAACTTTACAGGTAAAGCCCGGTGTTTCCATGGTGAAGAGGCGGGCATGGCAGCCATTATGGATGGCACGGTGCAGGCGGGTGACGTTGTGATTATTCGTTACGAAGGCCCCAAAGGCGGACCAGGCATGCGGGAAATGTTGAGCCCCACCAGCGCCATCAATGGACGCGGCTTATCTGACGATGTTGCTTTACTGACTGATGGTCGTTTTTCGGGCGGCTCCCGTGGCTTTGTTATTGGCCACGTGACGCCAGAGGCGTTCGAAGGTGGTCCTATCGCTCTGGTAGAAGACGGCGATCAGATCACTGTGGATGCCGAAGCTAAAACCGTGATCCTGCATGTAGACGACGCCACTTTAGAAAAGCGAAAGAGCCAATGGCAGCGACCTGCGCCTTATACCACTCGTGGCACGTTGGCGAAGTACGCCAAGCTGGTGACCAGTGCGAGTGAAGGTGCGGTGACGGATAAGTATCTGGACTGAACAGCAGATCAGTTTGGGAGCGCTTGCACCAAGCCCAGATGTTCAGTCATAAAAGAAAAGTCACGATCTGAGAAAAGCAAGGGTATAGATGCATCAATGCAATATGCCCCAATGATCATGTCGTTTGACCTTCTTACTGTGACCCCCTTTTTTCGCAGCGTGCGGTAACACTCTGCAGCACGCAGCGCTCGAGATATTCCAAACATTTCGTGTACGGTAAAGTTTAGTAGCAGGTTTTTGGCTTGTTCATAATCCGCATCGAGACGAAACCCCTGTAGCACTTCCATCAAAATCAAGTCACCAATGACTATCTGCTCGACGCCCAGCAAACTGTCCAGATAGTCTGTTTCTTTACTTTTTCTGCCGTTAAAAAAGTCTATCCATACACTTGAATCAACAAGGATCACGCACTATCTCGCATCGCGTCGAGATCGCCCTGCCACCTCAACTTTCCTCGAAATTCTTTGACGCGTTCCTGTCGTGATAGCTTCACCAACATGGCAAGCCCGAGTTCTACTACCTCCCGTTTGGATTTTGCACCTGTTGCTTCGAGCGCTTCGGCCAGCAGATCGTCGTCGATGACAATATTGGTTCTCACTGGAATCACCATGTGTATATTTTAGCCAAACTATACACATTCATCACAAGATATCGAGAGGGCTGCGCACTGCGTTTGCACCCTTGCCCAGTACATGGGTGTAAATCTGCGTTGTGGCGAGGTCTGAATGGCCCAACAGTTCCTGTACCGTACGGATATCGTAGCCGCGCTCGAGCAAATGCGTTGCGAAGGAGTGACGCAAAGTGTGGCAGGTTGCCTTTTTATGAATGCGCGCCAATTTGGCTGCGCGCTTGACTGCTCGTTGCAGCTGAGCCTCACCAAGATGATGACGCCGCTCTACCCCGCTTCTTGGATCAATACTACGGGCAGCGGCAGGAAACACATACTGCCAGCCCCACTCTCTTGCGGCGTTTTTATATTTACGCGCCAGCGCATCAGGTAACCACACTTCTCCGAAGCCCAGGGCCAGGTCGTTTTCATGCAGATGTCTGGCATCGCGCATCTGGGCACGAAGTGCGGGTTGCAATGACTCGGGGAAAAGCGTTCGACGGTCTTTGCCGCCTTTACCTAACCGTACCGTTATTTCCGAACGCTCAAAATCCATATCTTTGATGCGCAGCCGCAGGCACTCCATGAGCCGCATACCTGTGCCATACAGCAAACTGGCGGCCAGATGATGGACGCCTGACAATTCGCCCAACAACGCTTGAATTTCATCTCGCGTGAGCACAACCGGCAGGTAGTCTCTCGCTTTGGCTCTGCGGACATCCACCAGCCAAGGCACCTCTATATGAAGGACTTCCTTATAGAGAAACAATAAGGCAGACAGCGCTTGATTCTGAGTAGATGGCGCGACTCGATCCTGCACCGCGATTCTGGTGAGAAAGGCTTCCAGTTCACGCTTGCCCAGTTCTGCTGGATGACGTTTATTGTTGGCTAAGATGAAACGCCGAATCCAGCCGACGTAGGCATACTCTGTACGCTTTGCCATCCCAAGCCTACGGATACGATAGCGAACCTGGTCTAGTAATTTAGGTGGCGAGCGTTGATCGTTAGATGGCAAGTGTTCAACTCTGGTGGAAAAGTACCGGAATTAGCGTATTGATTTTGGTTTCATTATTAATCAGGCTGAGAACCAGAAATGACGTGGGAAAATGGAGAATTGATAATGGGTTATATGGATTACACGTCTCTTTATCATCACGTTTTGTCGTGTAATAAGTGTTAGGCGGCTAGGGAACACCGC